GGGGGGGAGTGGGAAAAGGGGGGCCAAAAAGGAGCAGAGGCTTCCCCCCCCTCCGCCGTGATGGACAGCCGCATTCTGGCCAATGGGGGAATTCTAGATTCGAAGAATGCCGGACTTGCTCGGTGGGTCTGGGGAAGGCTTTCCGCGACGGGGGTGGTCGAGGATGCCTAGCGCCGAGGGCGGAGCGTGACCTACGCGATGAGTCACGTGGGCCGACGGTGGGGGGGAGGGTATGGGAAGGAAAGAGTAGAAGAACTTCTTCCGGGTCACTGTCAATAGGCTCAACCTGGGGCGGGAACTTCTTTGCTCTTCCCTGAAACACACGGGCTGCACCGACTTGAGGTGCTTGTGATTTGGTGATGAGTTCCCAGAAAGGCAACGTGGCTCGGTCCAGGCCTCAGAAGCACCAGAATACGTTCACCTTCAAAAATGACAAGTTCGATAAGAGTGTTCAGACCAAGGTAGGCTCCTGCCTGTTGTACTGAATGCGAGTCCAGGAAAAAGTGATTGGAAGGGGAGAGAGGAAATGAGAGCAGTTGGCGAGGGCGAGCGTGGCTTGCAGCCCAGTTAGTCTTGGCTGTGATGCAATCCTGTGTAAAATATTCTTCCCACGCCCTTTCCTTCACTTGGCTGTGTTCCGTGAATACATCCTATGGTCAGCCAAGATTGGACAGGGCAGCCTTCATCCAACCTAAGGTACCGGTGGGCAATTGAGTCCTTGGATGTGCCCATCTGGATCACGACCCTGCAGCAGGAAACTGAAGATTACCACGCGAATGTCTCTTTACAGTTCTTCTCTTTGCCTGTGCAGCTACTGTTTTTCGAAAACTCCAAGCCCATACGTAGGTTTGTAGGGCGTACGATCTTAGCATCACTCTGCTGTTGTAAGAGCAAACGTTTGGCTTGTGTAAAAACGGTTCTTGCTGTTTATACAGTTGTTTTATCTAGCGTGACGTGTAAATTGGAAGAATTTTTTTTCTGTGCATGGATATCCCCTTCCCCATAACTGTATGGAGAACGGATAATCGGTTGGAGGCCATCTTTACATCAGATAAAGTTAATATTTACATGAACAAGAGTTCAAATTTCCTAAGCTTGTTTCTTGAAGTAATTTAATAATTTCTGTGAGCTTTAGCCTCAAATGAGAAATCTGGTAGGATTATTTTGAAACTAACAAAATAAAAGAGTGAATAGTCTGGGACATAGTGGGTGATGAATTTTAAAACATTAAGAAAGCAACCTGTTTATAGTAACTTGTACTCTTTTTGTCTTTCTTTGATTCTCATATGTTTAGTAAGTGGCTTTCGTGTATGGCTTACCCTTGGGGGGGGGCAGTGCTCAGAAACATTGACTCTACTTATGGAGCCTGTAGTTCTTTGAGTGTTATGGACAGTAGTTAAGCAAATCGGTCTGTAATTACAAATTTCAATAGAACTTGCTAACGGGAAAGGCAGTTCATCGAAGAAGAGTAAAAAGGATATTTCAAGTTAGGCCCCCGGAGCACACATTAGGTTAGCAGGCCCTGGGTCTATAAACCTGCCACCTGCTTTATTTTAGAAGAAATTATAGAGTAGAAGTTGGTAAAGAAAAATGGATCAGTCCACAATTTGCCCCAAACAGTGCTGGGAGTAGTGGAGTGTAATTTCCTCCCACTGTCCCTGTAGCTATCTCAAAATCTGTAGAGAGCCTCAAAAGGAAGACTAGACCAGACTTGAATAGAATTGGGAGATACGCTAATTAGTCCTTCCCCTGAGAGGAAGGAAGGTGGGACATCAGGTTGTCTCAGTTCTCTATTGTAAAGACAGTTTTTAAATTCAAGACTGGTCAGATGAAAGTGAACCTTCCCCCTACTCCTACACTGCCTCTACTGGTCTTGAACTTGCAGTGATCCTCCTGCCTCAGTCTCCTGAGGTGTCTACCACCATTCATAGCCATGCTAGATGCTTTATTAGGATGTTTATTTAGATAAGTGTCTACTCCTGTATTTGAATATATTCTAGAAGAGGAAAGAAGCTTGCTCTAGTCTTTCAAATGGCCAATAGGTCATTTTCTGAGCTTATTTGAAAGAGGCCCATTTTAATGGTCACTGATCATCAATGCCATCTGGCCACTTACAGGTTTGGAAAAGGTGGAGATCAAAAGAAGCTCAAATTTTATTCAATTGATGGCATTGTTGATTCTGACTAGATAGCTTTGCTTCCTTTACTGGAGAGGAGATGGTGTGTAATAACACTGGTATTGTGGAACATGGTCTTCTGGGAGTGACATGGCCAGTGACCTCTTGAACCCTGGGTACCTGTGATTACCTGTGAGACATTTGCACAGGGTTGGGCCCATTAGTGGTCTGTCATGGAGTAGGGAGGGACTTATGAGGCATCACCTGTCCCTGAGTGTATATAAGCTATCCACGGTTGGTTGATTGATGCTGAGAGACATTTTCTTTGTGGGGTAGCCTACACCATTTGTCTTTGCTCCTGTAAAAAGCCCATGTTTTTGTGAGACCATAATTAAAATTAAAATTAAACTCACTGATTCACTGAGCTCAACCTAGGTGGAATTGTTTCTTTGGTCTGTTCTTGTCCCGTAGTTTCTTCATCTCCCCAGAAGTTCATGCTGCTGGCGTAGCAGAAGAGAGACTTCACACCGGTTCTGTCATTTTTTACTCTATGATACTGTGTTAGCATTATGTCTGCTCTTAACTTTCTGTCAAGATGGTTGTGCAGATCATGATTGCTTTCCTAGAGGGCGCTGTGATGGATGAGAAGGTGTGAGGAAATGGATGAGTGGAGAGAGTTCTAGAGACCATTACAGGGCACAAAGGGCTGTTCAGATTTTTTCTTTTAATTAAGAGAATAGAGTGAATGGAACTCTTGAGCATAGCTGTGCCAATTAGACACGTGTCTTTCTGAAATGGTATTAGGAAGTGATTGTGAAGAATTGCTAATACCACTGGGCATTGTTGGCATACACCTTTCATCCCTGTACTCGGCTGTAATAAGCAGAGGCAGTCAGATCTTTGTGAGTTGGTTGCCAGTCTGATCTACATAATGAGTTCCAGGACAGCCAGGGGTATGTAAAGAGACCCTGTCTCAAAAAACCAAAAGAGAGAGAGGTGGCGGGTGGGGGGGCAGGGGAAAGCATTGTAACAAGTTTATAAATCATAATGATTACTTTTCTGGGGTCAGGTGTAGTCATCGTTAACAGTTATATGTATGCTTGCAGACATCTATGTGTGATATAGCATGCATGTAATAAAATACAATTCCCTTTTAAAAAAATGTTCTTTCAGGATAGTGTGTGTCCTAGCCTAGACCTCACTGTTATCTAGGCAGTTCTGCCTCAGTTTCCCAGTTGCTGGGATTACAGACTTGGACCACCATACTCAGCTAAGTTGATGGGTTTTAATCATTATAAAACATTGTATAATACAAATATAGAGTGACTTATTTAACCAGTTTCCTATTAATAAACATTGAGTTCTTCACAGTTATTTACTGTAAATAAAAAACAAAACCAAAACCCTGAAGTAGGAGTTGTGGTACATGCCTATTATCCCAGCACTCTGGAGGCTGAGGCAAGAGGACTGCAAGTTTAAGGCCAGCCTGAACTACATAATGTGAGGCCACACTTAGTGTCTTGTACCAAACATTGTGGTGTGTGTGTGTGTGTGTGTGTGTGTACTCACTTTAAAATTTGCTGTGAGAAGTGACAGAAATTAATCAAATAGCCTTTCAAATTTGTCAGCACCTGTGACTATAATATCTATGAAAGAAAAGTTTGAAGAGGCCCAAGAGTACTTAACTGAGACCCTTGAGTTTGGAGAGTAAAGGAAGGCTCCAATGAAATCTGATGGGTGGGTAATTAGAACTAAATGAAATGGGAAGAGCATGTGCCATTCTCTAGAAACTGCTGTTCATTTTATATGTGCAATCTGCATTTTTGTTGCATTTCCCAAAGTGGTATTTTTAGATCTTCATTGCATTTTATGGTCAAGTTGCTTTGGAAATACTGTGCGCTGGATTTGACTTTGCAGTGAGGGTAAAGGGTAAATTTCTCTAGCACTGAGATGAGCACTTCTGGCCTCAGTGAGGCAGGGGGATTGCCATGAATTCTAAGCTAGGCTGGACTATGTACCAAACCATCCAGAGATGTATATTAATATGCTGTGAAAGAAAAGAAAAGAAGTCCAAAAAACACTGGGATGTTTTGCAACTCAAAAAGATAATTGTTTAATCAAAATTTCCTTGGAACTGTTTGGTTTATAAAATGTCCAGTGAACTGATTTATTATGGAACACACTCACTTTTGGAAACTGATTGCCATCTTGATATGGAGATGAAAAATGGAAGTCTGTGTAATTTTGGAAATATACTTGTACTAATAATGGCTGATAGTTATATACTTCAGTGTGTTATGTGTTATGCCATCTTGGTACACATTATCTAATCTTCAGAAGGACCCTGGCTTAAATGCTATAATTATTTCATTTTACAAACTGGGAAATTAGGGCTTAGGGGAGTGAATGGTGTCCCCTAAATTACATAATTAGCATGTGGCTATCCATTAATTAGAGAGCTGTATGATGAGACTCGGGACAAGTCATTTCAAAGTTCCTTTTTGAATGTGGAGCTTCTCCCTCAGTACTGGGGATTCTTATCGCCTCAGCTCTGGTTTTTTAAAATTGTGAGACAGAGTCTTGCAGATATGTCCATCGATAGAGAAACCATGAACTTTGGCTCCTTCTGCCTCAGCCTGCTATGTAACCTGAATAACCACCAGAACCAGCTTTTCTTTTATGTTTTCATCTGTACTAGAAGCAGTGCGACCCTGAGATTACCATCAGAGTCTAGGTGTATGCGCCCTATCGTTATGGCCTATTTCGGCTAAGGTGTGTTTTGTTCCACAGAGGTCCACATGCAGGAGCCTCAGTCCTTCACTGTGAGGGTGAGATATGGTGGGGATTTGAAAAGATGGGGCCTGGTGGAATTTGATGGGGCCACCAGGCAGATGCTGTGCCTAGGTGAAACTAGTATTCATTTCTGAGAGTGAGTTCTCTGTGTGCTTCACTTTGACCTCTGCTGTAATCAGAAGGCCCTGAGCTTGTGTGTGACTTGTTTGCTGACTGTGCAGAAATCACTGGGAAATCATCACGTTTTGGTTGATTTGGTACACATCCTAACCATATATGGTCCTCTGACCTGAGGGTGCCCTGCCATAGCCCTTCCTCTTTGCCTTCCAGAATATATAGTTCAGTATCAATCAGTGGAGACTTCGCTGAAATAAGTATTCTTAAATTTCTTGCCCTACTCGACTTCATGGAGCATGGACCTCACAAGTGAAGACATTTTTCTTGCCCCACATCTTCACCTTTCTCTCATTTGCTGCTTCAGTCAGTTCTTCCCCCATCTAAACTCTAGTTCTAGAAAAACACATGCTGTTGGACTAGTGTCCCTCCAGGTGC